AATTTCTAGCAACCACAAGGTGGCTCACAACCATCTGTAATGAGATCTGGTGCCCTCTTCTGGCCTGCAGGGATACGTGCAGACAGAACACTGTATACATAATAAATAAATCTTTAAAAAAAAAAAAGAAGAAAAAGAAAGAAATGGTAGCTCAAGCCTTACAGAATTTTTCTTTCCTGGTTCAGAGACCAAGTTAGATGCTGGCATTTACATTCAAAAACAAATCCTGGACCACGTGTATGGTGTATGAGAGATATATCTGTGACTCTTCAAGAAAACTCTCCAGACATGGTGTCACACATCTGTAACCCTAGCGCTGGTGAGGCTGACGCAGGAAGGTTGTTGTGCTGCCAGTTCAAGACCAGCCTGGGCTAACTAGCAAGACCCTCTCCCAAAAATAACAGGAAGGAAGGAAAAGTTCACGGTATAAAGTTAGGAATTCGTGAAGGACTTTAATATATCTGGCTAAGTACTTAAACTTTTTAATTTTTCAAAAAAAAATTTGCCAAGCTTAGCATTGCGTACCTTTAATCACAGCTCTTGGGAGCCAGAGACAGATGGATCTTTTGTGAGTTCAAGGCCGGCCTAGTCTACCTAATAGTAATAAGTTCCAGGAAAGTCAGGGCTATGTAGAGTGACCCTTTCACAAAAAAGCACAAACAAAACACGGTGTCACACATCTGTAACAAAAATTTCTGTGTACTGTTCCTTTAAATTATGTGCACGGTGCTGAGTCTGCACCAGGAAACATATAGAACCATCTCAAAATACTGTGTGAGAGTGCCAGGCCAGACTGGCTGGTGACTGTGATGCTCTCCATCCCTAGAATGGCTATACACAGTGGGCATCTGAGGATCTACAGTCCTTGTGAAGCCCACAGGTCTGTCAGGCTTCCATATGGTTGAAACAATTTTCAGAATAATACTGATCTTATTGTCTTTCCAGTGTGCTAACATTGGGAAAATATCATAATCCAATGAGTCACTATTTTCCAAATGACCACTGGATAATGATTTTTTTTTAAAGTGTGCAGGAGTAAAACTGCACAGTAAAGGAACTGATAACCTAAGTCCCAGTCCTGGAACCCACATGGTGGGAGCAGAGAACCGAGTTCCTTTGAAAGTATCTCCAAACATTCACAAAGACGGACAGACAGACACACACGCACACACACACACAATGTGTGACTTGAAAGCAGAAGGGGGACTGTTGGAGGGGAGAAAGACCCATCAAGGAAGGGAAGGGGAGAGAGGTGGGTGAAGGAGGTAAGGGAACAAATATTAGCAAGTTCAGGTGGTGGCCTATGTGTGCGAAGATGCCCTGGAGCCCATTGTCTTTTAGACAGTCGGTACAGTTAAAGCAGAGAAGTCTGAGTCTGAAACGGCGCCCCAGGAGTCAACCTGAACCAGACCTGCGGGTGGTGTGAAGAGTCAGGCAGGCAGGCTCTGCTTTGGTTGGGAGATGAAGTCTCTACATTTGCTGCCGTGGTGCTTTGTGTCTTTAAAGTGGATTGTAGCCTAACTTTTAGAATTGTCTCTATCTTCTTAACTTCTCCCAATTGCCACCTTCAGATTCCATACATTTAGACATTTAAAACTAACTTAAGGCCGGGCGGTGGTGGCACACGCCTTTAATCCCAGCACTCGGGAGGCAGAGGCAGGTGGATCTCTGTGAGTTCGAGGCCAGCCTGGTCTACCAAGTGAGTTCCAGGAAAGGCGCAAAGCTACACAGAGAAACCCTGTCTTGAAAAAAAGAAAAAAAAAAAAAAACTAACTTAAATGTAAATTATATGTAAGAAAAATATAATGGGGAAGACAAATCTTTTACAAATGATGCATTTTCCAGTAGGAAAGTGCTATTAGATGGTTTATGCCTTTCCTTCTGTAATTACTATGGAAAAGGATTCAGTAAATGGGGGGGGGATGCATTTCCTACCTCTGCACTAAAGTTCTAAAATATATTGAAATTCAAATGACCAGCATTATTGAGGTTTAGTTCATGCCCACCCACCCACATTAATTTTTAATAGCACTAATTGAAAAGGCAGTTTTTCTCCTGGTAAGTGGCCTGAACTACTCAACAGAGCCCATCTGATTCTGAATGATACCTCTTCAGTTACTGATGTCCCCTTGTATCACAGCGTTCACTTTTCTTGGTGTAAATAAATGGAAGGTTTCAGAGGACCCTTTTAGGGCCCTTGAAACTCCAAGTCTAAGTGGTGTTTAGTGAGTTCTAAGAGCTATTATCTTTAGAAAGGGAATCATCTATTCCCAAAAGCTGTTGTTCCTCAGTTTTTATACTCAAATGAAGGAGGAACTTAGGTTGACAAAGTCCATCATGATTATGCAGTCTGCTCGTGCATCCCTCCAAAGACCGAGCTGCCTGGGGAATCTGAGTACACTTGACAACTAGATCTTGAGTGTGTCAAAGTGGGGGACAGGGTGAAGATAAAAACCAGACCATTGAATAGAGGAGAGTGATCATTCTGATTGGTTCTGGGAAATGTTTGTTTTCATTTTTACTTTTGACATGAATCTATCTTACAATCCCTGGACTCACTTACAGAATATTGTGTACATAGAAAGTACATAGATATTCTATAAAATTCTTTTACAGAAACGCTCTCTCCACCAGGTGTGATGTGCGTGCACACTTTAATCCCAGCACACAGGAGGTACAGGTGGGTGGATCGCTGTAAGTGTGAGACTAGTTTGGTCCACATAATGAATTCAGACCAGCAAGAGCCCCACAGTGAGACCCTGTCAAGGGAGGTGGGGGGATATTCTTTGTCTTTAATAACCATTCATTATTCTAATTTAGGAAAAATGGTGACTTTTTTTTAATGTGTATGTGTACCTCATAAGTTCATGTGCACCACATGTACGCTGGTGCCTGCAGAGCCCAGAAGACCCCAATAAGTGACTTTGCTTAAGTAGCTTCTTTTTCTTCTTAAAGTTCTATTTCACTGTGTCAGGTGATTGGGAGTTTGATTTTTTTGCTTTTGAGAAAGTCTCCAGGATTCCAAACTTACTATATATTGAAGACTGACCTTGAACTTCAGAGCATCCTTTACCTCCCTAGTGCTGGAATTACAGGCATGTATTACCTACATTCGGTTTATGCGATGCTAGGGATCAAACCCAAAGCTTTGTGTATTCTAGGCAAGAACTCTGCCAACCGAGTGATATCCCAAGGCCGGCTAAGGATTCTCTAAAAGGTCTTCAGTGTGCGGTCATTGCTGACTTTGTGACTAGCATCAGTAAGCACTCTTAGGAATGTTCTACAGAGCAAGGCAGGCTCACACACAGAACTGTAGCTAGAGTTTTCCTGCCTGGCCCACAGTCAGGACAAATCTCTCTCACCTGCCAGTCCCACAGCCACTCAGACCCGACCAAGTAAACACAGAGACTTATATTGGTTACAAACTGTATGGCCGTGGCAGGCTTCTTGCTAACTGTTCTTACAGCTTAAATTAATCCATTTCCATTAATCTATACCTTGCCACGTGGCTCGTGGCTTACCGGCATCTTCACATGCTGTTTCTCATCATGGCGGCTGGCAGTGTCTCTCTGACTCAGCCTTCCACTTCCTTGTCCTGCCTATACTTCCTGCCTGGCCACTGGCCAATCAGTGATTTATTTGCCAACCAATCAGAGCAACACATTTGCCATACAGAACATCCCACAGCACAGAACATAAACCATATACCCAGAAGGCAACAGGCTTCAGTTGCCCAACACTTGGCCCTTTGAACCCCTCCCATACAGCGCCATGACTACACACTGACATGATTTAAGGGCTCTGGCTCTCAAGTCAGGTAGTCCGGCTTCTTGGAAGACTTCAGACATCAATCACCAGTTCTAGGCCCAGACCACTATGTCCAGAGCTCTATAGCCCGTCCATCTCATCCTAGAGGCCCCAATGCAATGGCCTCTCAGATGCAACATGTTCTCCCCACCAAACCATGCTGTAGTCTTGACTCCTATAGATGTCGTTCTAATCTGTCCTCTCTCTCTCAGTCCCCACCATCAGCCCTTCTCTACTCTAGAGACTGGAAGGACTCCCTTTACCTTATAGTCATCCCATTGTGTCCCCTGGGAGCCTTCCGATGGTTCCTAAGATAAGAACTGAAGTCCTTCATGGCACCTCAGGCGGCATCCTGAGCACTTGTATCATTCCTCTGGACTCCTAGTAAACTCCAAAGCATTAGCCACAACTTAGCCTGTGGGGAAACCTCACCTGACATTTTTACATTGAGAAAAATCTTCCAAACTGTAGCACACATTAAATTGATGGGAATTTTTTAGATAAAAAGAAGCTACATTTTTCTCCCAAATCTTCAGGGTAGTCAGGGCCAAAGCATGGCTGGAGCTGAGCACTCTTCCCTTTTCTGAACACCTAGTTAGTAGTTTAGCAAATGGAAAATACTCTGCTAGACAACCTCCTAGGCACCTAGCTGAAGCTTTCAGGAAGCATCAGGTGGACTGCAGAACTGGAGCACACATATGTGAATACACACAAGTATGACTGAGTACACGTGTCAGTGGACAGCTTCTCTGAAAGAAGCATTTGCAAAGGTCCAGAGCAAAGGTTCAAAAGCTTTCGGTCCATCAGCCTCCTGACCTTGCTGACCAGAGATGAGGCTGCCTGGTGTGGAGCTTGTAGAATAGGGCCAGGGCAGGGAGCCCTGCATTCTCTCAGAAGCCCTAGCACCAAGGACCTGGGGAAAGACTACCTTTCCTCAGCAGCTCATCCAGAAGTTTCCAAGTGAAACTTCTTGTCTCACTGACCCAACACCCTTGGTGAAACAGGATGGTTCTCTAACTGTTTTTAGAAATAGGATCTTGCAAGAAGCAGCAGAAGCAGCAGCAGTTTTCTTTTCTTTTCTTTTCTTTTCTTTTCTTTTTCTTTTTAATTTGGTTTTTGGAGACAGGGTTTCTCTGTGTAGTCTTGGCTGTCCTGGATCTTACTCTGTAGCCCAGGCTGGCCTTGAACTCACAGAGATCCACCTGCCTCTGCCTCCTGAGTGCTGGGGTTAAAGGCGTGCGCCACCACCGCCCAGGCAGCAGTCTTTTCTTTTTTGGGGGAGCTGAGGACCGAACCCAGGGCCTTGTGCTTGCTAGGCAAGCGCTCTACCACTGAGCTAAATCCCCAACCCTAGCAGTCTTCTTTATTCTGATCATATGTAGATTTTGGAATAAACATCTCTTTATTGGTTAAAAAGGAAAAAAAAAAGAAAAAGAAATAGGATCTTGCTATGCAATCCAAGCCAGCCTTGATTACAGAATGTTCCTGACTCAGCATCCCAAATGTGAGGATAATGGGTGTATGAAACAGGATTTTTGATAATGCTTGGATTTTAGAATAGGCTAGACACTTTGTAAAGATCACCAAACTGACAGTTTTATATCATGTGTGATTGTCACATGCCAGTAATGCCACACTTAGGTAAAAATCATAGCTTCAAGGGCTGTGTGGACTACATAAGAACCTGTCTGAGAAATAAATAAAATTTAAAAATTAGGTAGACATTTAATGTCATAAAATTATATTTTTTGTTATGCCTTGTTTACATTAGAAAAATTATTTTTCATAGCTAGGCATGGTGGTGCACACCTATAGTCCAATGTCTTAAGAAGTAGAGACTGTCGGGTGGTGGCGCACACCTTTAACCCCAGCATTTGGGAGGTAGAGGCAGGTGGATCTCTGTGAGTTTGAAGCCAGCCTGGTCTACAGAGCGAGATCCAGGATAACCAGGACTAGCTACATAGAGAAATCCTGTGTTTATTTAAAAAAAAAAAAAGTGGAGATCAGCGAATCCAGAGTTCAAGGCCAGTCTAGGCTACATGAGACCCTATCTCAAAAAAAGAAAGAAAAAAAAATGAAAAGGAAAGATCACTTTCCATCTAGTGCAGTGGCTCTCAACCTTCCTAACGCTGCATCCCTTTAATGCAGTTCCTCATGTTGTGGTGACCCCAACCATAAGATTATTTTCCTTGCTACTTTATAACTGTAATTTTGCTAGTTATGAATGATAATGTAAATATCTGTTTCCCGGAGGCCTTAAGCGACCCCAAAGGGGTCTGGACTCACAGGTTGAGACCCACTGATGGAGTGACTGTGTGTCCCTCCTGTCCCTCCTCTGGCAGGGATCCTGGGGTTGTGTCCTTTCTACATATTTACATGGGGAAACCCCCATCTTTGTGGGGGCTGGGATTAGCTTATGCCTCTGGACCATCACATGTCCAGGTTTATTTTTTAGTAAGTGCACGGTCAGAAAGTCTGGATCAGCGTCAATGTACACGCGCAGCGTGAGTGGCCCAGGGACCGAGAACCGTCACGCTTGCCCTCTGGGGGGATCTCTGTCCTATGGTGAGTGGGAAGGGAGATCAGAAATGACTGGGAAGAGAGAGCTAGAGTGAGGGTGGGAAGGCTGAGGCTGAGGAGAGAGCGCGCTGGCTGGCCGAAGGGTGGGTGGAGAGTGGTGCCATGCTCCAAGTTCGTGCTCCAAGTTCAGGTTGTAGGTGGTGGTACATAGGTTTGAGTTTAAGGGCAGAAGTGACTGGGTCCCCACAGGAACACCCACCACAGACAGGACGCTGGCTGTGGACCAGATTCAGAGCAGCACCAGAGGGGGAAGACACAGGAGCCGAGTGGGGCAAAACCAGCCATTTGCAGAGGAAGAAGGGTGGGCACTGAGAGGGCACCAGGCACCACACGGGCTCCCGAGTCCTCACTGCCAAGGGTGGGTTCTCAGGACCTTGCTAAGCCGTTTTGGCTAGCAGATGGCAGGGGCTGGCTGTGGTGGGAAGAAGGACAGGCCTTCCTCTAAAGGAGGGGTGGCCTTACACCCACAGGGTGGGTATCGTTTGTGTCAGTTCAGCTTCATGGAATAATGTGGGTACCCTGGGGAGGAGAGGGGTGCAGCAGAGAGAAGGCCCTTCTGTCCCTTGGGCAGGGCACCCAGAACTGCTCTTTTGAGACCCTAGGGCCCTCTGCCACACCCCTCACACTCTCCGGTGAACCCCCTGTGGAATGCTCTAGGTATTTTGTCTTTTTTTTCTGTCTGAGAAAAATGTTTTAGTCTCCAAAAATAAAAAGTTTTAATTGATCAGTACATCTACTCCAGTGTGACATTGTTTTTTTCTCTGCAGCCCTGGCTCTTCTGGAACTCGAATTGTAGACCAGCTGGCCTCAAACTCAAGAAATCTGCCTGCCTCTGCCTCCTGAGTGCTGAGATTGAAGGTGTTCGCCACCTCCACTTGGCAGGAAAACACTCTAAATCATGTTTTCCTTGATTAAACCACTGTGTTTCTGTGAAAGCAGAAATCATTGTGTGCATCTCTAAAAAGCAGTTTATAACATGGAGTGTTTATAAAGCTACCCTTTAGTTGCTGAATGAACCACACAGTCACTGCCGGCCTTGGTGGCAAACACACTAATCCCAACCCTCCAAAGGCTCACACGATTGTGCAGAGGCCCTTCAGCATTACATTCACCGTGCACAGCGCTCGTGCTATGAATCCAGACCAGGGCTGCGGTGAAGCCGGGCCACACAGCACCTCAGATCTCCCATGTGTCTAACATAACCAGCTTTTGGCTGCTGTGTTGAGAAATGCTTTGTTGCCGCCGTTCTCCATGCCCTTCACAATCAGTTAGGTGACGCTGTATGGGCTGGGCTGTATCCCCACTAAAATACTGACATTGACGCATCCTCTGGGGGACATTTCCATCACCACAGGCATCCATCAGGTTCCCTTTGTGTAGCAATATCATCTGCTTACCACGGCAAGTCTGTTCTCCATTTCTCTAAATTTCCTGGATATATTAAGGACTCAAACAGCATAAAACTTTGGTGGGTTGCTGCTTTCACTGAGCATAGTTCACTCTTGTCTCTTCCGTCTACAATAGTTCCTTTGTTCTGTTCTGTTTTCGTCCTGGAAAAGTCTCGCTGTAGCCCAGGCTGGCCTCACACTCACAGTCCTCCCATCCCAGCTTTTGAAGGGTTGGGATTAGTGCGTTGTTTGCCAAGGCCGGCAGTGGCTCACTCATCTCTTCCAGTGACTACGTGGTGCCTACCACAGCCTATTGGACAACCAAACCATAGCTGGGTCGTTTCTGGTCAAACCACTACAGACATTAATGTACAGTTTTGGGTAAAAGTGCATTTTTATTTATTGGAAGAAATGTATCTAAGCAGCCATTGGGTTGTATGTAATCTCCAGGCCATCTGTACCATCCCACGAGCTCACCAGCAGCATAAGCCAGTTCCTCTTTGTCCTCGGCCCCCACCCCCCATGAGTGTGTGCTGACACTGTTTCTGTTCCCCTGGGGACTGGCAATACTGACCATTGTCTGTCCACTTACCATCTGTCTTTCCCCTTTGGTGACCTCTTCAAGTCTGTCTCACTTTGCAGTTTATTTTGTACTGTTGACTTTCACAGTCCTTTACGTTGCAAGTACAGACCCTCTGAGGAGTTGTGAAGTTTCCGATGTTTTCTCCTAGTCCTTAGCTGCCTGTCCATCCTCTTAGTGGACTGTTCCCAGAGCCAACACTTGGAATTTCACAAGTCCAACATACCACTTTCTCCTTTTGCAGCCCCCTCGGGATTTTTGTTTGTTGTTTTTCTACAATTCTTATAGTTGTGTGCTTTATACTTAAGCCTGAGGTACATTTTGAGTTTGTGCATGAAAGTGCGAGGCCGGCCTCTGGAGGCCCGGCTGCCTGCTGCTGCGGCTCTGCTGCCCTTGGAGCATCCACCCTGCTTCTCTCAGTGTTTGAGCTCCAGTCCCAGGCTCTCTTCTGATAGCAGTCTTGAATTCTGTGCTGCTTACATCTGGGCTTGAGTGGAGGGACCCATTTCCCCACCTTTGCGTCCTTTTCCAAAACCTTAGTCTACTTTTTCTGTCTTCCACACATTTCTACTTCTTCTGCCTTCCATACATCTTCAAACAATCTTCTGTCTACAGAAAGAAATCTTGCTGAGGCTTTGGGATTCAGCAATATGTATTTTTCCATATGTAACCCTTACACAGTTTGTGAGATTTACCTGTGTATTTCATTATTTGGATTGTAATGGTTCTGTGTTTCATTTCCATGTTCATTCCTCATATATGAAGATACAATTAGTTAGAGTTTGGGGTTTTGGTTTTGCACCTTACTAAATTCCTTTATTAGTTATAGAAGCTGTTGAATAAATTCCCTGGATACTCTGTTACAGGTTCGCTTCCTCTCGTCCTGGGTGTAGACTCTCATTTCCATCTTGTTTTGGTTTGCTGCCTGGCACTCTGAGTGCTGCTGGAGGGAAAGGCACACTTCTTGGCCTTGCTCCTAGTCTCAGAGAAAGCAATGCTGACCCCTAGGGTGGGCTTTCCTGGTGTGCTTCTGGAAAGAGCCATCTAGGGCTTTCATGAACCTTGTAGGTTCCAGCAGCTTCTCCCAGTAAACAGATGGGGTCCCAAGGACGCCGGTTGGGCTGACTGAATAATAGAAAGCACAGGATTTGGAGTAGGTGCATTCACATTTAAATTTCGACTTCTCTGCCTCCTTACTTACAAATCTCAAAATCCATTTCCTCTTCCACAAAAGAGAGGCCCAGCTCCATTGCTGATGGATATGCAAGCCTTTGTGGCTCTGGCTGTGGTGAGGAGCCGCCTTGCTGTGACTCCTCCCAGCACTAAAACGGTTCTGTCTCGGTGGAAGATTGGTCAATTCTCATGAATCATAGTGTTTGCATTGGGGATCTTTAAAGGACTTGGTGGTCCACATGTATCTTCCTAGGACTGATGCTTGGAGATCCACTACTCGGATTCATTCCCCGGCCTCAGCAAGTCACTCTGAGTTACCCTAGATGACATCATCTGAAAACCTGAGTGCTGGCCGGTCCTATTCCCAGGGTTGTTGTGGATGATAAATGAGTTGATGTATGTATCATGTCTAACAGTGCCTGACACGCTAGCCTTGATGACGTGTGAGCTGTGAACATGACTATGACGTTAGGACACATTCTTATTTGTGGAACACCTTTCTTAAAAACAAAATTGTTTACTTTGCAGATTTTGTAAAAAATGGATTTGACCAACCATGGACTTATTCTACTGCAGCAGTTAAACGCTCAGCGAGAGTTTGGGTTCCTGTGTGACTGCACGGTTGCCATCGGCGATGTGTACTTCAAGGCACACAAATCAGTTCTTGCTTCATTCTCCAATTACTTTAAGATGTTGTTTGTCCATCAGACCAGGTAACTAAAGTGGTTGATAATAATCTAATGGCTGTAGACCTCCTGACTCTGGGTCCCTCTTCCCACTGAGCACACTCTTGGCCTTCATCCAGACCATGGGTCTCTGCCTCTCCCTAGGGTCTAGGTACCTACCCCACTCCCTCGTTAGCCCCCTGTTCCCTGTCTTTCTTGGTTTTTAATTCTCTCCTTTGTACTTGAGAGTCACAGAGTCCCCTACCTACCTGGCTCCAGGCAGCCCCTCCCCTTCCAAGCTGCCTTCTGTGTGAATATCACCTTTGAATGGCTCCAGACCTCCCTGGCCCCAGTCAGTAAGTAAGCCCTCCAGCTCCTCCAGGCCCTGGCCCCTGAATACCTGACTTTGAATACTTAGTTTCAAAGGAGAAGCTGGAGGGCACAAATTCCATTTCCCTCTTTTCTAATGTAAAAATCTGTGTCTTGGCTCTCCTTGTTTTTTGTTTTATTTTCCCTTGATTTCTCCTAAATGAGATTCTTAGAGAGAAAAAATCTCTGGGTGTGTAAAGAAAATAATCTCCCCCACCCTCCCTCCCTCCTCTCTTCCTCCCTCCCTCCCATTTCTCCATTTTATTCTGTACATTTCTCTTCTCTCCCCCACCCCTCCCCGCCTGGTCTGGGCAGGAGACCTTCCTTGACCTTGCCAGCCCCTGGAATACAGCCCTGTTCTCTGTTCCTTGAACCTTCTTAAAAGGGCCACCTGTGCCTTTGCAGGTCTAGCTCATCCCACACTCTTCCTGTCCATTTGCACTGTGGTTTTCTGTCTCCGCTGCAGTCACGTCCCAAAGGGCACCTCTCCACCCGAACACTGCCACCCTCCTATTCTCCTGCGGTCCTCACCTGTGACCAAATGTCCTTGATTCTTCTCCTCTGCGCTGCTCCTTGGGCCTCCTGAGCCCCTGCTGGCCTTGCACACTGACTGTGGTGGGTGGCTCATCTTCTCGGACTTTGCCTTCTCTGGTGGAAACTTTCAAGTTTTAGCTCCAGCCTCCATCTCTCTGCAGATCCCTGTTCCTAAGTGCCCTGCCCCGGCTACCCCTGCTCTGTTTTTCTCATTGGACATGGATAGAGCTGAACTAAGGCTCTCCCCCAGAAGAGCCCTGGCTTGCCTGCTGTGTTCTATCTTCAAGTAGCCCAAGCTTCAGATGTAGTTCAGATCATGTCGTTTCGCTCTCCAGATCATCTTCAATACATGTCCCATGCGCTCTGTCTTTCCTATCTGGTAACTATTCATTTCCCACATCACTGTCAGATTAATATTCCTACAGACTGCTTGGGTGAGGCATGCCTTTGACCAGAACTCAGGTAAGGGCAAACTGAGCAGATCCCTGTGCACAGCAAGACGGGTGTCGAAGCTCCTTAGTCTGGCTCCTGGAAGTGAGACTCTCACTTAAAGAGTGACTGACCCTTGTCACCTGAGCATCTCTGGGACACCATCTTCTCTTTGCCCTGCCTGATTTGTGGCTCACTAACCTGAACCAAACTGAGTGTCCTGTCCACTCCCTGATGTCCCTAATCCTTGCCTCCTCCTTAGTTAAGTAGACAGAAGCTTCAAGGATGACTGTGTTGTGCTGCTTACAGCAGCATTTCCTCTACACCGCTGCTCACCCCTCCCCCACTTGTAAATTGCTGTCACTCACCCCCCACCCCACCCACACACACTTGTAGTGAGTGGCTGAGCAGTGAATTTTGCAGATATCCTGGGACAGGACAGGGTATGCCTGAGGTGTGTGCTTCTAATAGCTACTTGATAAACATCGGGAGGAGCAAAGGGGCCAGGAGGAGGTGACTTAGCTGTGAGGAAGAGCTACTTACTGTCTTCTAGTACTGAGAACATTTCCTTTAAGCAAGAGGAGCGATGCATTCCTGTAATCTTAGTACTTGGAGGCTGAGGCGAGGAAGTTGTCAGGTCTAGACCAGCCAAGACCCTATCTGAAAACAAATGGGCTTATATACTGGACTTCGTTTCTCCTTTAACATCATTATGTTAAAGATGTTATTTGCAGCCATTAATCTCAACACAGTAGCTGGGTGGTGGTGGCGCACAACTTTAATCCTAGCATGCAGGAGGCGGAAGCAGAGGCAGGTGGATCTCTGAGTTGGAGGCCAGCCTGGGCTACAGAGTGAGTTCCAGGAAAGGCACCAAAGCTACACAGAGAAACCCTGTCTCAAGGGGAAAAAAATATCTCAACACAGTGAATTGAATGACCTTGAAAAAGAAACATCTAGCTAGGCAGTGGAGGTACACACCTTTAATCCCAGCACTCAGAGGCAGAGGCAGATGGATCTCTGTGAGTTCGAGGCCAGCCTGGTCTACAGAGTGAGTTCCAGGACAGCCAGGGCTACACAGAGAAACCCTGTCTCGAAAAATAAAAACAAACAAAAAAAAGAAATGTCTTTAATTTTGAAGTGTAAAAGACAATGTAATGGGTTTTAATTAGATGCAAGAAACATCCCCTCTTTTATGTGTAGGGCAGTGAACAAATGTCTAAGGAAGGGAAGTGATCTTTGTGTCAGTTTCTGCCTAGGCAGCAGCCTGCCTGTTACGTCATCACCCGTCGCCAGGCCTTTCCGCAGTCAGCTGTGCACATGTGCACCCCTTTAAAGTGCCCGCCAGGCACAGCTCGCTCTTCTGCCTCCTGCTCCTCCTTCGCTCCCCTCGCCTCTCTTCTTTGTCTTGTCTCTGCCCCGTCTCTGCCCTGTCCTGTCTCTCTGTGACCTCCTCTCATGTCCCCACTCCAACATGGCTTTCGCTCTTTCACTGCCGCCCACCCTCCTCCCCTGTAAACCTCCTGCACCACCTCTGTTGCGCATGGCATGTTTGCTTAGTGGCATACCTTGGCAGGACCCACCGAAAGGTGCCCACTTTGTCTTTCCTTTTTTTTTTTTTAAACATTGTACTTTGTATCTGAAAACACCCACCTGATGGCTATCCTTGTACACCCCTAGATGCAGAATTCAAATTCGCTGTCACAAACAGAGCAGAGACCAGCCCACTTTTAACCAGCGCTTCCTGCCTCCTGGAGAGGCACTTTGTTCCAATAGCCAAAGACTGAGCCCATGACTGGATCTTTTCAGCTTTAGAACATTTCATGTCCTGTAGTTACCACTAGGTGTCTCTATCTTTTCTCTGTAGACTGAGCGCTCAAAAAACAAAACTTCATGCTAAGAATAACCTGCTGAGTATGGAGGCATGTGCCTTTAATCCAGCACTTCAGAGGCAGTGGCAGGTGGATCTCTGTGAGTTCAAGACCATCCTGGTCTATATAATGAGACCCTGTCTCAAAAACAGAAAAGTTAAGCATTATTTAAAACTGTTATTCTAAAATTCTAGCAGGGAGACCGAACATGGCATTACTGGGAGCAGCTGTGCAGTGGTGTCTGTGGCTGTACTAACACTCCCTTGCCCTTCTCCTGCATAGAAGTGAGCTACCTGGCAGATGTCTGTCCATCAAAGCTTAGGTGGAGTTCCTTGTGTGTATTGTAGAAGATGGGGAAGCAACAGTCATGTCAAGTGGACGGTCCAACAAGTCCTGAATAAAAGGAGCACAGGATTTCAGTAGCGGGAACGTCACGGAAGGGACTGCAAGCATATGTGGGCACCCCAGGGACTCCCAGCTTCCTCTGGGAGGCGGGGGGTTCCCAGCACTCCCTCCAGGCCTGGCTGAAGTGAAGAGTGTTGACTCCCCAGTTCCGTCCTGTTCTTGCCATCAGGAACTTGTTTAGAACTGGAAAGGCTTCTTACTCTCAGTAACCACTTACAAGCAATCAACAGAGTGACCTGTCCAACCACAGTGAGCAACTACAAAGCCCTTGTGGAAAGGGGCTCAGCTGGGCAGACCTTTGTGAATGCTGAAAGGAAGCCCCGCCTGTATTTCCCTCCTCTCTTGAGGACCACGTTCATCTCCCTGAGAAATACACATCTCAGAAGGCCTACGTTTCCGAGTTCCCTGGGTCTCTGCCTGATCATGCCAGTGGTGGGTGGCACACACTTTTAGTTATAGCACCGGGAGGTAGGAGGTGGATCTCTGTGAGTTCCAGGCTAGCCTGATCTACATAGGATGCACAGGAAGACCTTGTCTCAGAGGGACAGACTAAAGCTATGAACAATCTAGCAATCTGTGTCTCTCTTTTTTTTTTTTAAAGAACACACTATCAGGCTGGAATTCCCGATCCTGTGCTGTAGGTGGATGCTAGGTTGTGTGTCTGCCTTGTGCTGTTTGACTTTGGTGTTTTGTAGTTAAATGTGACCAGTGCATGGAGCCTTAAGTCTTCATGAAATACACCTGGATACCTGTCCAGTAATTATTCATATATGTCCTGTCAGAAGTCCGTCTTAAAATCACATTAGCTTTTCCTCTTTTCTTTCACTACTTCTTTTTCCTTAGACAGTGTCTCACACTGTAGCTAGGCTAGCCTTGAAGTTCAGATAATCCTCCTGCCTCGTCCTCTTGTGTGCTGGGATTATACATCATGCCTAGCCCATCTGTTTTTATTTTAACAAAATAAAATGGTAAATTTAGAAGATTGAGTATACTGTAAAAATTTTAGAATGGTAAGATAATTGATTTAAACAATGAACATAATTATAATTGCTAAATCTACCAAAAAGATCTTTAATGTCAAGAGTTTATAGAATCAAAATTACTGTAAATTTCAAGACATTCAAGGAAACTGTTTCTGAAAATACATAGAATATATTCACTCCATGGATGATACTGTATGCCTCCTGTACTACAGAGACATGTATCTCATTGGGCTCAGCATACATTAGAACTTTCAGGAGCGATGGTCTGAGGAGAGTCCCCACTTCTTTACTATTGCTGTTTGTGGGGGAGGGTGCTGTTTGTGATGTCAGTCTGAAAGGTAGACAGCCATCTGTGTGGGTGGCTTGCCACCATTCAGATGGGACTAGTGAAACCCAGCATCTGCCCCACAGAGCTGTTTCATTGCTCAAGGATCTCCGTGGGGCTTTGGAATTAAGTAGGCCTAGGTTCAAGTCCCAGCCCTGCCACTCACCAACCCTGAGGTGAGCAGAGTGCTACCCATGGGCCTCCTTGGCACCTGTGAAGGAAGGACTGTGGGCAGTTGGTAGAAGGGCTGTAAAGCCCACCGCAGGACCCCTGGGATGCCGACATCATCGGTGAAGACTGTTGTCCACACTGCGTTCCAGTGCCACCTAGTGACACTGAGGGGGTGACCACTCATCCCCCTTGCGGGAGAGGTCGCATCCTCAGAGAGCTGTGGACCTCCGACAGTTTGAGTGCCCTGCTCTTATGTGTTGTTATGCTAGTAACCACGCATGTGTCAACTTACAGCTTTCAAGGCTTTCTAATCAGATTAAATTCTTTTGCTTACCTCCCACGGGCTGCTGAGCTCAGAACTGGGTCCGTACTGAAGCTGGGTCAGCCTGATCCACGGAAGTGTTCTTCCAAGGGCCTTAGTTGTTCTTCAGGCTTTGTTTCCATTTAATCAGAGGCTGGTGTTTCTTCATGGCTTTCTGCTGTTTTTCAGTGAATGTGTTCGTCTGAAACCCACTGACATACAGCCTGACATATTCAGCTACCTGCTCCACCTGATGTACACCGGGAAGATGGCCCCACAGCTGATCGACCCCGTGCGGTTGGAGCAAGGGATCAAATTCCTGCACGCATACCCCCTCATCCAGGAAGCCAGCCTCGCCAGCCAAGGCACCTTTTCCCATCCCGAGCAAGTCTTCCCGCTGGCCTCGTCTTTGTACGGCATTCAGATCGCAGACCACCAGCTGAGACAAGCCACCAAGATGAACATAGGGCCTGAGAAACTTGGCCGGGAGCCTCGGCCTCAGGCGTCCCGGATGAACCAGGAGCCGGTGCCCGAGACCTCACAGCTGTCGCAGCTGACTGCAAACCTGGCACAGGTGAATCGGACAAACATGACTCCCGCCGACCCCCTGCAGACCTCACTGTCACCCGAACTTGTCTCCACGCCTGTTCCTCCCCCTCCTCCTGGGGAGGAGACCAACCTGGAGGCCTCTTCCTCGGACGAGCAGCCGTCGTCCCTCACCATCGCCCACGTGAAGCCGAGCATCATGAAGAGGAACGGGAGCTTCCCCAAGTACTATGCCTGCCATCTGTGCGGCCGGCGCTTCACGCTGCGCAGCAGCCTGCGCGAGCACCTGCAGATCCACACGGGGGTGCCCTTCACGGCCGGCCCTCCCGGGGAGAGCCGCGGGCCCCTGTCGCTTTGCAGCAACGCTGCCGACCTGGGCAAGGAGGCTCTGGAAGTGCCCGAGGCGGGGATGATCAGCGACAGCGAGCTGCAGCACATCTCCGACTCCCCCATCATCGACGGGCAGCAACAGTCGGAGACACCACCGCCCTCGGACATCGCGGACATTGACAACCTGGAGCAGGCGGACCAGGAGAGGGAGGTGAAGAGGCGCAAGTACGAGTGCACCATCTGCGGCCGCAAGTTCATCCAGAAGAGCCACTGGCGCGAGCACATGTACATCCACACGGGCAAGCCCTTCAAGTGCAGCACCTGCGACAAGAGCTTCTGCAGGGCCAACCAGGCCGCGCGCCACGTGTGCCTCAACCAGAGCATCGACACCTACACCATGGTGGACAAGCAGACGCTGGAGCTCTGCACCTTCGAGGAAGGCAGCCAGATGGACAACATGCTGGTGCAGGCCAATAAGCCCTACAAGTGCAACCTGTGCGACAAGACGTTCTCCACCCCCAACGAGGTGGTCAAACACTCCTGCCAGAACCAGAACTCAGACGTATTTGCCCTGGACGGGGGCCGGTCAGTCCTCCTGGGCGGCGGGGACTCGGAAGTAACTGAATCTGACCATCCCGTGTTAGCGTCCATCAAAAAGGAACAGGAAACTGTGTTACTAGACTGAATGTTACTTGTCTTTTTAAAAACTGTCATTTTTACAAAGAATCTTCCCCCCACCCCCCACCCCAATTCGGGACAGTTTCACCATGGCATGATACAAACGGGCCCCACTCCTTCCCCGGCCCCTTTTTCTCCCAGCCCCATCTCCGCAAGGCTTTGTGCATTAGAAACCTGGACTACATTTACTTTAATTCAGGGGATATTGGAAGGATAATGGTCAGTAGTACTTATAAAGAAATAGATTTTGAGAAGTTTTAGATTATTTTAAAAACCTACTTGGAAATAATTAAGGGTATATAATAAAACAACTAGAATATAATTTGGTAAGCTAAAATTATGACTGTCCCTGGGTAATAAGTCTTCCTTCTCAAAGAAACAAAGTCAGAAAATACAGCACACGTCTAAGAGATACAGCTGGGCTCTGCTATGCAAACCTAGAAGGTGTGGGGAAACTTGAAACCCAAGCAAATGTTTTTAATATTAGCCCTCTAGGTGTCTGATTTCAGAATGTAGCCTTTGAGATTATGTCCAGTTAAGGAAAATCACTAGTTAAGAAGTCGACTTTAACAAAATGCAAAAAGAGTAATAATGTGATGGCAATCTTCATATTTGGATCAAACCTGACAGGCTGTGAGTTTGTATGTGAGCGAACACACGGATACTTGCTACACACAGGAGAATTGATGCACACTCTTTACCCGATGCTGGCCTCTTCCCAGGATGAAGAAGAAGATGCCGGGTTTTGGTTTCCGACAAGCTTGTTTTAAAATCGGCTTTGAGAACACGGTTCTCTAGAGAGTCTTTCTGAACAGCAGTGGCATGCCGTTTCCTAGCAGTCGCCAGTGGTGAGCGTGTGTCAGTCAGCCGGCTGCCTGTAAAATCAGTGTGCACGCTGCCAGGACGGGACTACAGAAGTACGCATCTTACAGGGAAAGCTGTGAGCAGAAAGTGTGGCTTTAATGAGTGTAAAAGTTGATGCTGCCCGGTTTGGCGGTGCCCACCTGTAACCCCAGTGCTAGGGGAGGAGGGCGGGGAGTAAAGGCAGGAGAATTGGGAGTATGAGGCCAGCCTGGGCTACGTAGAGAGACCTTGTTAAAATGCAATGCCCATAGTTCACCGGTGACATCTACTAAAGCATCAAAAATAACAAAGAGAAATCAGGATGACAAAAATAATAATAATCTAATTTCTTCTTGGAGGAAAAACAGTTGATTTTGATGTGTATCCTCCAATTTTTTTTAACACCTGAAATTTCCCCCACTGGCCTAACAACATTAAAAGTTGTTCATTAATCTTTCCTTGGGCCAATAAGAAAATGGTCTCACAGGATGCAACAGGAGCCAGAAGTGAGGACTACGGGGCAAGGGGCGGGGCTAGTGCATAGCGATACCGTACGTGTATGTTAGAAACTGAATATCCCATCATCCTCTTCTATGTATAGTTGAGTTCTCAGATTTGTAAGTTTTTATACATCCTTTCATTGAATAAACATTTAATTAAATGGGCATGTGATTTTTCTCTTGTGTATTTGCCTACCCAAAGAACACAGAAAGGGGGCATGTGGAAGCCTTGCATCAAGAGTCATTTTAAGGCCAGGTGGTGGTGGCGCACGCCTTTAATCCCAGCGCTCAGAAGGCAGAGGCAGGCAGATCTCTGAGTTCAAGGCCAGCCTGGTCTACAGAGCAAGTTCCAGGGCAGCCAGGACTGTTAAATAGAAAAAGCTTGTCTCAGAAAAACAAAAACAAAGAGTCATTCTAGCTGGATGTACGCCTGTCAGATAGACCTCGGGAAGCTCCCCCAAACATGGTGCCATTGTTCAGACCAATGAAGTAGAGAGGTTTATGATTACACTGGGTCATGAATGTGTGAGACTCCTATGAGCTCCAGAAGATGCCAGGAGCAGGCTAAGGCTGACAGTGTGGTAGATGTCATCCAACCCACCGCCTTTACAAAGACGAAGAGATCAGGAGGTACTGCCTAACAATAACAAAGCACAAGATGAACCTAGATTCCTCAGCACCGAGGAGGCTATCCATCCCATCTTTTTAGTTATATTTGAATCTCTATGGAAATAAAACAGCCTTTGAAAGAGTTGTGCGTTAAAAAGTTGTGCTGTGCTATGGGTTTTTCACACCTTTTTATTTATGGTCCTATGTAGTACCTGGCTCCTCCATGCTCCTTGTCACAGATGATACTGAACTGAATTACCTGCTGTCCAACTTCCCACTGCCCACCCCTGAAAGGATAGAAAATCTGGCAGATACTTCCCTTTGTTCAGAGGCATTTCTCTAGAGCAATGGTTCTCAACCTAATGCTACGACCCTTTAATAGAGTGCCTCGTAATCACCCCCAACCATAAATTTAGTTGCTATTTCATAACTGTAATTTTGCTACTGTGGTTTTTTGTTTATTTTTTGTTTGGTTATTTGTTTTTTCAAGACAGGGTTCCTTTGTGTGTAGCCCTGGCTGTCCTGGATCTCACTCTGTAGACTAGGCAATTTTGCTACTGTTATGAATCATAATGTAAATATTTTTGAAGACAGAGGTTTACTAAATGGGTCTCAACCCACTGGTTGAGAACCGCTGCTCTAAAGGCTCCTCTTCAGGGCCTCTCCCCATCCCTCTACCTGTGACAGCTCTCTTATTCTTTAAGCTATCCCACTTAATGAAGCTTCTCTCTGGGTTTTATAGAGGATCCTTTCCTAAGGGCCCATTTGTGATGTCTCTGATATGATGGGACTGTCACAGAGTTTTTCCTGTGTAGCCCTGGCTATCCAGGAATTCATTCTGTAGCCCAGGCTGGCCTTGAACTCAGAGATCATCCTGCCTCTGCCTCCTGAGTGCTGGGATTAAAGGCGTGCAGCATGTTCAACCATGCCCTGCCTTTCAAGGTATTTTAAAGTTTTACATTACCACAGAGGCCCCCAACTTTGTATGTCATAGAACTCTGCAGAAGGCTTGAGCAGAATGATTGTTGGCCCTACTCTTAAAAGGATGTGGATGATGGCTGTTTGAAACCTGGGGCCTATGCAGGGTCGCTTGGCTCGGCCTGGGAGGAGGGGACTGGACCTGCCTGGACTGAGTCTACCAGGTTGATCTCAGTTCTCGGGGGAGGCTTTGCCCTGGAGGAGGTGGGAATGGGGGGTGGGCTGGGGGGAAGGTGAGGGGGGCCGGAGGGGGGAGAAGAAGGCAATCCGTGGCTGATATGTAGAACTGAATTGTATTGCAAAATAAAAAAATTAAAAAAAAAAAAGGATGTGGATGAAGCCAGGCGGTGGTGGCACACACCTCTAATCCCAGCACTTGGGAGTCAGAGGCAGGTAGATCTTTGTGAGTTCAAGGCCAGCCTAGTCTACAGGGCGAGCTCCAGGAAAGGCACAAAGCTACACAGAGAAACCCTGTCTCGAAAAACAAAACAAACAAACAAAAAAAAGGATGGACTCGGGAGTTTCTTTTGTTGTTTTGGAGGTGTCCTGTAAAGCCAGGCTGGCTTCACACTCCCGATTCCTCTAGTCTACCCCTTCCGAGTGCTGGGATTGCAGGCAAATGCCACTACACCTGGTTTATGTGGCGCTAGCGATAGAATGCAGCACCGGGCGAGCATCCTACTAGCCGAATGACACCTCAGCCTGGGATAGTTTCTAAGAAGTCCCGGATGGTGCTGATGCTGATGCTGATCCCACTCAGAGCAGCACAGGTGTCCCGGTCATCTCTGCTGTCTGCTCTACTGTCCTTTCTTCCTTTCTGTTAGCTTCTCAGAAGGGGAAGATTTGGAAGGCCCCCAAGGTTGTTGTTCTGAACTTCCCGTCCTCGCTTCAGATGTGCTTGGACCCCAAGAATGTCATCAAAGAGCTGGGAGGAGTGGCGCATGCCTGGCATGCCGGTGCTTGGGAAGCAGAGACAGGAGGATTACCATGAGTTACAGCCCAGCCAGAACTATATAGTCAAACTGTCAGGAAACAAAAACAAAGGCCAGGCGCTTCAGGGGCTGAGGCAGGAGGATCATTATGTGTTCCAGCTGTGCCTGAGCTACAGCGTGAGGTCCAGGTTAGTCTGGAGTAAACTGGGACCTTGCTTACAGAGAAGGGAGAGAGGAGGAGGAGGAAGAAGGTGAAGAGGAAAAAGAGAGAAGGCAAAGTAATAGATGCACTAAATTTTCCAAGAAGCAAGTTGCCCTACCCTTCACATGGGTGGGGGGGGGGGAATAAAACAGCATCAAGGCCAGGTGTGATGGCACATGCCAGCACTCTGGAGGCAGAAACAGGTGATTCTCTATGAGTTTGAGGGCAGCCTGATCTACATAGCAAGTTCCAGGCCAGTCTCAAAATAAAGAAAGGCATAGATAGCATGAGAGACTACCCAGATTCAGATCACTGTAAGATCGCTGCTGGAAAAAGCTTCATAATCTTCCATCCTTTACAATTTTTCTATAAATATTTAGAAGAGCTGGGTGGTAGTGGTGCATGCCTTTAGTCCTAGCACTTGGGAGGCAGAGGCAGGCGGATCTCCAAGTTTGAAGCCAGCCTGATCTACATATTGAATTCCAGGACAACCAGGACTACATAGAGAAACCTTGTCTCAAGAAACAAATTACACAAATATTTAATGAAATAATGGGTTAAAACCTTCCTCTGGAAGTTCCAGATGGTTGTCACCCAATGTGGGTGATAAGAACTGAACTCTGGTCCTCTGCAAGAGCAGCAAACAGTCTTCACTGCTGAGCCACCTCTCCTGCCCGATTCTGCAAGTGATTTTTTTAAAAAAGATTTTTGTGTGTATGGATGTTTTCCTGTATGTATATCTGTGCACCATTTGCGTGTGGTCTTAGTTGGGTTTTCTGTTGCTGTGAAGAGACATCATGGGGCAACTCCTATAAAGGAAAACATTTAATTGGTGTGGCTCACTTACAGTTCAGAGGTGCAGTTATCATCACGGTGGGGAGCATTGTGATGTGCAGGCAGATTTGGTGCTGGTGAAGTAGCTGAGAGTCCTGCATCTTGCAGGCAACAGGTAATGGTCTGAAAGTCACATTGAGGGGAGCTTGAGTAAAAGAGACCTCAAAGCCCACCCCCATAGTAACACACATCCTCCAACAAGGCCACACCTCCTAATAATGCCATTCTCTATGAACTTATGGGGGTGTCTTAGTTAGGGTTTCTATTGCTGTGACAAAACACCGTGACCAAAAGGCAAGTTGGGGAGGAAAGGGTTTATTTGACTTACACTTCAGCATTAGTGTTCATCATTGAAGGAAGTCAGGACAGGAACTCACACAGGGCAGGCACCTGGAGGCAGGAGCTGATGCAGAGGCTATGGAGGGGTGCTGCTTACTGGTTTGCTCCCCCTGGCTTGCTCAGTCCACCTTCTTATAGAACCCAGGACCAACAATGGCACCACCCACCCTTGATCACTAATTGAGAAAATGCCTTACAGCTGGATCTCATGGAGGCGTTTCCTCAACTGAAGCTCCTTCCTCTGAATTCTCTAGCTTGTGTCAAGTTGATACGCAAAACCACCAGTACAGGGGCCAATTACATTCAAACTACCACACATGCCATGCCCACAGAGTCTAGAAAAGAGCACTGGATCCTTTGAAACTGGAGTTTCAGGTGGTTGTGAGTTGCCCTATGTGGGTGCTGGGAACCACACCTAAGTCTGCTGAGAGAACAGTAAGTGCTCTTAACGGCTGAGCCATGTCTCCAGCCTCGGAAGAGAGCGTTAAAGGGTCCTTTTTCTTTGGAAGTGTGGCCACTGGTTTGTTGCTCAAGCTCTTGTGGATAGCCCCACACCCGTGTGCACACTGGCAGTACTGACTGGACTTAGTTCTAAGGAGAGCAGAGTAGAACAGAGGAGAGGGAAGGAGAGGGAGGGGAGGAGGTGGGATATGACATGAAGTTGGGAGAAGCATGTGTTGGTAGTATACAGGGGAATGGTGGGTAGATGTAACTGAAATACATGCATGAAATTTTCAAAGAAAAAATATATACTTAAATCCCCCAAAGTCACCATTTAGCTGGGTGGTGGAGGCGCACACCTTTAATTCCAGCACTCGGGAGGTAGAGACAGGCGGATCTCTGTGAGTTGGAGGCCAACCTGGTCTACAGAGTGAGTTCCAGGACAGCCAGGACTGTTACACAGAGAAACCCTGCCTTGAAAAACAAAAAACAAAACAAAACAAAAAAAAGGACCGTTAATCATCTTCCATCCCCTGTTCCCAAGTCTCTCATCCTGTGGTCACCTCAGCCTAAACCTGTGTTGTCCCTTCTCTCGACTTTCTCAGGCACAAAAGGTATAGATTATACTAACCCCAGTGACAATAGGCAGGTGACCGATTCCCATGAGTGTGCAGTGCGGGGGGACACTCATTTCCAGGATCCCAGGAGGTGAGGTTGGGCAGGAGAAATGCTTTCACTAGACGGACCTGGAGCTTGCTGTGTAGTCCAGCCTGTCCCACATTTTCCTGCCCCTGCTCCTGAAATGCTAGGGTCAGAGACATGTCCCATCA